ATTCTATTTTACCAGTTCAGTTTCATGTAATCTCTCTTTTGTTGAATTCGCAGTGTTACTGTGGTCTGACCTTTCTGTTAACATTCAACATTATTATTGATATTTCCAAACTTGTCCCTACCATTAAGTAGACCTTTTTCTTGGTAATTTCCTGTTCTCTTATTTGTCTTTCTGTCTTTAGTTTTCCTGGTATGCACTCCCTTCAGAACTTCTTGAAGAGCTGGTCTGGTGTTGGTAAATTCTTTCAGGTTTTGTTTATCTGAGAATGTTTTTATCTTTTCTTCCCATATGAAGGATAATCTTGCTGATATAGTATTTTTAGTTGAAATTGTTTTTAACTTAACACTTTGAATATATTTTCCCATTCTTTCCTTGCTTGCATTGTTTCTAATGAGAGATCCGACGTTAGCCTCATGGGCTATCCTTTGAAAATAACTTGACACTTCTTTCTTGACAATTTTAGTATCTTGTCTCTGTCTGTGGTTTTGGTCAATCTGACTCTGATGTTTTGGGGTTGATTCTATGTGGGGTCCTTTGTATTTCTTGGGTCTGGTTATTTGAATGACTCTCTAGGTTTAGAAAGTTTTCTTCCAGGATTTCATGGTATAGATTTTCAATTCCCTGATTAGTTTCTTCACATTCTGGGATACCAATTATCCAGATGTTTGGGCCTCTAATAGCATCTAGTCTTATTTGCATATTATTCTCTTTTATAGGGGGTTATTTTCTCATTCTCTTTGGTGAATTTTTCTAGGTCAGAGGTTCTGTCTTCTACATCTGAGATTTAATCTTCTACATCATCTAATCTGCTTTTAATACTTTCAAGGGAGATTTTGATTTCCTGTATTACAGCCTTCATCTCTAACAGTTCCCTTTGATTCTTTTTTTTGGGGGGTGTGTGTGTATTTCCTCTTTCAGATCATATAAGAACTTTCTTACCTCCTGGAACTCGTTGTCCCTTTTCTCCTGCATTTTCTGGAGTTTGTTGTATCTCTTCTCTTGCATCTCCATTAGCTTTGTCACTATGAATATCCTAAATTCTTTATCTGACATTTTCATGAGTTCCATTGTGGATGATGAAGAGCTATTCTTTCCCCTTGGGGAGAGATATTTTCTTGATTTCCCATATCTCTTGTGCCTCTGTGGTGGTTTCTGATCATCTGATGGATTATACTTTACTTTCTACCTGTTTGGAGTTAATTCTGAGTGTTCGAGGTGTGCAAAAGGAGATGACCTGTAATATTTCCGCAGTTCCATTTCCCTGATCCTCATCAAGCAACCAGCACTTTTGTCAGTGGAACTGGGTATTACAAAGACTTCACAGTTTCAGGGGAATAGGTGCACCTGGGCTGAGCTGCAGGGTTCCAACTAAGAATTCAGAGGAGTGTTGGAGATGAGCTGTGCACACTGTAGCTCTGTAGTCCTCCCAGCTGCTCACTTTGCAGACTCTCTTCTCTGATTTTTGGTCATTTGTTGGTATATTCACGTTTGGCTAATTTGTTAGACTTCTGCTACTGTAAGCTCATATGCTTCATTTTACTGTGAGGTACTTCTAGGCCCATTTCTCCTCTATAACTGTGTTTTACAATGTGGTATCCACAGAATTTGAATTTAGATTTATAAAGATGAGCTTCTCCCTTTCTGTAGCAGTTCAGTCGGGGTTGAGTAGTCAGAAAGGGAGAGGGAGATAGAGAGACAGAGACAGAAAGAAGACAGAGACCACCCTACCTGGCTTTTCACTGGGTGTTGGGCCAGAAGGAAAGGTTTAGGGTAGAGGTTTTCCAGTTAATGGGGCAGGGCTAGGCCCACTTCAGATGCACATGGATTCTGGCCTTTCACTGGGTGCTGGGCCACTGACATTAGTTCTTAAGACTCACGATCCTGGGACTATTGAGAATTTGAAAGCACAAAAGAGAATGGACCCATGATAATAGTAAATAATAATTATCATATATTTAATGCCTCCATGCCTTCACACAGAATCAGGTACTTTATGGGTGAACTTACACTTCATTTTTGCATCTAATTTCTGAGGGAGATGTTAATGTCCAGACTCTGCAAATAAGGAAATGAAGGTCAGAGCAATTGGTTAATTAGACAGAGGAGCTGGGATATATATGCAATAGTCTCCCTTTTCGTACACAGCAAGTAGAATGCTTTGAAAGTTACTTTAGATGTTTTTATTGTCTTGTGTTCGTAGTTTTATAAGTCTGTCTCTCATTCTCCCACCATTTGTCAGATGTTTATTTATTTTCTTGCAGGGTTGGCACTTTCAAAAGTCAGGTATTTCTCCAATCTTTTAAGTCTCTATTTATTAATTTTCTAAGTATTTTACAGGAAAAATTATTAGTGTAACATTTATATTTTTAGACCTTTACACTAGGAGAACAGAGTCAGTGCCTTAGACAGCTTGACATCTCAGTGGGCAGAGCACTAGTTAAGTTGGAGTTAAACAAGATTAATCTCTAAGCCCTCCCAGAAATACGTCTTTCACTTGTCCTCACTTAGAGCCAGATAGTCTACCTGAGTGGTCTTTTCAGCCAGATTAAAAATCTTATAAAATGAGTGAAATAATACATTGGCAAGATAATATGTTAATTTGGATTAGTACGTTTGATTGACCTAGTCTCATCTTTATTAATCACTGGGCTGGTTTTGAAGAAAAGGCATAGAGCACAAATGAGTACACTGATGTCGAGCAAGAACTGGGCTTCCTAGTCTGGGCCTAAAGTGCTATAACAGAGAATTCTGGGCAGCCTGGTGACTGAGCACCCCAAGTTAATACTCGCAACTAGTGAAGGTGCCCCAAAAACCCATGAGGGGAAGAGATGGGTACCAAGCAGCTGAGATCAAGTCCTTCATTCTACTGGTGGCAGAACCACTCTGCTGCCATCTCTTCTATATGTCTAGGTTCTATATGAGGTTTCATTTTACAAACAATGTGGCACCACTTACAGTCTTTTTTTTTTTTTTTTTTTTTTAAAGGCAAACAACACCAACATAATTGAAAAGGAAGCCCAGCCTAGCTGGCCCAGTCCAAAATATACCCAGTGCAATGCTTGAAGCCACGTGCCCCTAAGAGTCTTAAGAACTGGAGAGCTGAGACAGAATCTGCTCACCTCCTCACCTCCTAACTTTTAGCTCAGAACCAAAAGACAAAACTTTAAAGATCCTGGAATGCAGCCTGAAGCTCCCATGGCTAAAACTCATAGTCACTCACCACCCTGGCAGTGGAGGAAAGCATCTGCAATTCTCTGGGAGCACAAAATGTTGTAAGTGAATAAGGTGACAAAACCAAGATCCTTAGGTAGTGTGGGCATGTAGAGCAGGAGATGAAAGATGGACAGCTAATCCCAGAATGTTAGTGAGCAGCTCTGCATGGTGGAATGTTTTTATTCCTTAGGTATGCTTATGTGCATTGACTGAATTTTCTACAATCATTACATATTACTATTTTAATTTTATTTATTATTATTTTTTGCTAGAAGGCATGTGAGAGAGACAGAGGCAGAGAGAGAAGAAATGTGCACATGTGTCCAGTGTGTTTCTCAAGTGACCAGATCTGGGACTGGAGCCACACAGTCAGCTATGTGGGATTTAGCTGCCTTAACCAGCTGACCACAGAGCAGCCCATATTATTATTTTTTAATAAGAAGACAATGTTTAATCTAATTACAGTGCAGGTCTCCATTGTGTATCCTCCTAAAAAGACACATTACTTTCGTAGTAACACAATCAATGGCTCTGAACTGATGCTAAGGAGCAGCACCTGGAGCCAAGACTCCTGTATGGGAAGATGAGCCATCACTGATTTGACAGGAGGGAGCAAGTAGCTCCCTGACCTCTTGGAGTGAAAGCATCGGAACTGCGAGTGAGGAAATGAAAGAATCCTGATGAAGGAAAGAAATCGGGCCTGTATTCATTTCTTCACTTTTCATGAACATTTCATTAAGTGTGTACTTTGGGTTTGTCAGGAAAGTCATGATGCATTTTCGCATAGAGAAATAGATCATGACTTTCCTAACAATCTAATGTTTGAAAGACTATAAGATCCATCAAGGTGTTTAAAGTCTGGGAGGGGGTAATGGAGATCAAATGATTCTCACAAGTTCCACCCCCCTTCTTTCCCTTCAAGCAAAGAACATAGTAAATAAAATATTTAAAAAAAATTAAAAGTAGATCTGCCAGGTGGCATGGTAGCTAAGATGGCTGGATCTCACATGACCAATTGTGTGGTTCAAGTCCCAGACCCAATAGCTTGAAAATCATGCTGGGCATATGTGCATGTGTCCTTTTTCTCGCTCTTTCATATGTGCACACCTTCGGCATTATGAAAAAAAGAAGTCGCCAAAATAATAAGTAAAAGAAGGATTATGAAACAAAAGTAGGTGAATATGAAAAAGAATCAGAAGGAAATAATGGGATGAATATTATTTTTATTTATTTATTTTATTTGTATTTCCCTTTTCAACTATTTAATAAAACTCATACACAGGTCAAAAAACTTTATTATCTGGGCCAGCAGGTGACATGGTGGTTAGGGGCAGTGGACCCCCACATAGCCAACTACTATTTGAGTCCTGTACCTGATGGCTTGGTTTCTAACTTTCCTCTCCTTCACTCTGTCTCTCTCTGGTCAAATTAAATAAATAAATAAAGCTAAATAAAATAATTTTTAAAACTTTATTATCAAATCAGAATGATCTGATTTACCAAACATTCTATTTAAAAAGAATGGTCAGATGCAAACTGTCACATATAGGACTTTTTAAATTAGAATTATTTTATTTAACTTTATTTATTTATTTTCAATTTGACCAGAGAGGGACAGAGCGAGATAGAGAGAGGGGAAAGTGTCAGGTCACCAGGTCTGGGACTCAAACCATGGTCGGCCATGTGAGAGTCCAACGCCCTTAACCACCATACCACCTGCCAACCTCACAAATAGGACTTTTTATTTGTCACTACTAAAAGTCTGAACTTTAAACAGATTCTTGGGCTCATGGTTCATACCCACCAGCTCGTTCACCTTTGGTGCCTGTCTCATTCCCAGTAGCTTTTCCAGAGCCACTACCTTCACTACTAAGCTCCATGAGTTTTCTCAATTCAAACTTGGGCTTCAGTATTCTTACTTTTCTGACGAAGACATCATGGAGAGGATAGATAGACTGACAAGCCTTTTCTATGTATTTTCTGGTGCTGTCTGGAGTCAGTTTATTGACCATTTCTTTGAAGTCGTTTGTCTGCACTTCCTGGATCATGATTTCCATCATCATCTTCTGGATTTGGTGGACCTGCTGATGCGGGGCATAAGAAGTCTTCCCTATCTGATTGTTGCTTTTTTTTTAGTAAAAGAGATGAAGCAAATAACCTTTGGTCATCTTGACATTAACATGACCTTCAGTCATGGTCTGCCATTTTTTTGACCATAGAACACATTTTGTCACAGGTAAGATCCATGCTATGAAAGTTAGTCAGGAAGTGTTTGCCCTGGACATCTTCAGTAATAAGTTTGGATTTCCTAAATGCTATTTCATCATTCTGAAGTTCTACAAGGCTCACATCAAACACATGGTCCTTAAGGCCATTGGATGCAATTTTGGTTCCTTGAGTCCTGGTAATTAGTGTTTTCTCAGTATTTCTTATGTTAAACATAGCAGGTGCTTTCAATGTCATACCAATCTTTTTTTAGAAACTGGATCAACTACTTTCTTCTTGGTTCCCTTTATGCTGCCTTTCATAAGGTGTTCATTCTTACCAACCACTGTGGTGCCACCCAGAGAGCCAAAATGAAAATTATTATCACTGAAATTAGAAAATATAAAAACAGGGCCAGCAGGTGGCATGGTGGTTAATGTACTGGATTTTCACATGGCCAACTGTGGTTTGATTCCTAGACCCAGTGGCCTTAAAATCTTACCAGGCACATGTGTGTATGTACTCAAAACCCCAAGAGAAGAGTGGAAGAAGAAAGATTGCAGTGTGGTCATCCCCCTGGGGAGCAATTTCTTATTTTCCCTCTCTCTGTCTCTATCCTGTGAGCACACATGCCCTATGGCAGAAAATTAAACAAACAAACAAACAAACATCAATAGTGATTTGGAAGGTGTACTGGGGCATTTATTCAGAACAGAAAACAGATTGAAAACCAGAAAAGAGACAAAAAAAGGCAAAGCACAGATTGAACATAAGAGGTTCAAAACAGAAACACAAGAACATGGTAGATTTTCACTGCTGCTGAGAATTTTCCAAATCAAAAAATAGATCTTCAGATTGAAAATACATGAGTAAATTAGGTTTACAGTAACAATGTTCATACCAACCCATTCCCTACTGTAGACCCACAAGACCCACAGAAAGAAATTAAGTCAGCACTCCCTCTCATTCTCACTCTCACTCTGTGTCCTACTGAAATACCCACAAGCTAGGCACAGAATCATCTTTGCATAACTTAGGGTAATGGTTTACCCCTCCACTGCTTCCCTATAGCAGCGGGTCTCTGATCAGTATGGAATAGAGGTCTATGCAGCAGTAAAACTCCTGAGCCAGGCATCTACAGAGCCTGTCTATATCTCTGGTTGCTCCTTCCTGTTGGTATGCCAAATGCATCGTTTCATTTAAGTTATAATACAGATCGCCAAGAATAACCAGAGTACAGACCACCTCTACTCCGTGTCTCCCAGCCTATTTCATTTCATGTTTCAAATGTAGGCTACCAAAAAAAAAAAAAAAAAAAAAAAGAAAAGAAAGAAAAAATCAGAAAGAAATCTTGTACCTTTGATTAACTACAAAACAGACACGAGAGAACCACTTTCCCTTTACCCTACTGCCATGTGTGTGCTTTTGGGGGATGTTTACACCAAACATCTCTCCATTCTACCAAGCAGCAACATTTAAATCTCTTGTTCACACTTTACTGGCTGAAGGTTATAAATGTTTTATGAGCTGCTGAGCTTGCAGCATTACTATTTTATTAGAAGGCTGAATATCTTTTCCTCATAAGTGTATTACTAGTGAAGTTGTTCTTTCTCTTAAAAATATTAACTTCTTAATTGACAGGAGGTTAAGCATTTCAAAATGGTACAACCCTTTTCGAAAGTGAACCTCAACAGCACTAGAAATTCTTGGTTTATTTGCTTTAGATGGACCAACAAATATTAATAAATTAGGGAGGAAATATTTTTTTGTTACTGAAGGAAATTTGATTTCTTTTTTTCTTCCATGAATTGAGAGAGAGAAAAGGTAACCCCAACAATGTCTGAAAGCCACTGTTCCCAGTCTGTATCAGTCATCCCTGATTACAGCCTGCATACCCTGGCATATGCAAGGATGTCTCCAAGTGTGAACCCGGAACCCTCCCATGTGGGTTCACCATGTGGAGCATTGTGCTTTATCGTTGTGCCATCATCCGGGCCATTAGGGTTTTTTGCCACCCACCCGGGGCCTTGGGGTTTTTTTTTTTTTTTTTTTTTTTTAACAATTTGACTCAAGAGAGTCCTTCTGGACCAAATCTATGATTGCTGAGCTATATTATGTTTAAACTCTGGCAATAATCCAAAGAACCAATTATGTATTTCCATGGGCAAGAATCAGAATGAAGAGAGAGAATCAAGTTCCTTGGGTAATTCCGAACAAGCCATTTAGTGGTTCTGAACATCAGTGTCTTCATTCGTCCTGCCTGACATTTCTTACTCTGCCTCCCTCCAAAACTGAGAACCAAATAAACTGGGGAAGTAAAAGGAGGAAAAAGGGCTTCTGAAAAGCTGAAACAAGATTGAGCTTTTGTGAAAAGTAATATTGTGACAAGAAATCATGGCCACCAACGAGAAAAAGCTAATACCCCCCCCCAAAGTCTCCAAAGTATCTACACTGAGCTGTGTTCTTTCTGCTGCCCCAGGTCTCTGTTTTCTTCTGTCTGCCCCTTCTTATATTAAGAGTTTTTTTTTTAAGAATTTTTTATTTTAATTTTTATTTATTCATTCATTTACTTTAATTTGACCAGAGAAAGACACACAGAGAGAAAGAGAGGGAAAGTGAGAAAGCAAGCCACCAGGTCTGGGACTCGAACCATGGTCAGTCATGTGGGAGTGTCCAGCACCCTAACCTTAGAAATGTGTTGAGGGACCAGCAGATGGCGTAGTGGTTATGTTGCTGGACTCTCACATGGCCAACCAGGGTTCGATTCCCAGACTCAGTGCCTTGAAACTCACATTGGGTGCATGTACATGTGTGCCCAAGATCCTAGGAGGAGAATGGAGGAGAATGAAATGCAGCATGGCTGTTGCCCCAGGAGGTTGGTTTCTGATTTGTCACTTTCCCTCTCACTGTGTCTGTCTGTCTATCTGTCTGTCTGTCTTTCTCTCTCTTAGGGCATGCACCCTAAGGCAAAAATGTCTCAAAAAGAAATGTGTTGAGATAGGGCCAGCAGGTGGCATAATGGTTAAGGCATTGGATTTTCATGTGATCAACCAAGGTTTGAGTTCTAGACCTGGTGGCTTGAAAATCACACTGGGAGCATGTGCATGTGTGCCCAAAATCCCAGGAGGAGAATGGGGAAGGGAATGCAGCATGGCATCCCCCTTGGGGAGTAATTTCTTACTTTCCCTCTCTATGTCTCTCTCTCTGTCTCTTTCCAGCAAGTGCATGCACCCTATGGCAAAAACCTAAAAGGAAAAAGGAAAAGGAATGTGTCTAGACAAAAAAAAAGGCATTTTGAAGGACGGAAAATACATTCTTTCTTGCAGGGTCTGAAGTAAGATCCCTCCTGAGTCTCCTGGTAATGAGGCCATCCTTGACCCCTTGTAGATGTGGATGTTCCGTTGTAAGGGCTCTAAAGCTACTCTACTAAAAAGGAAAGAACTAACTATCCAACAGATGGGCAAGTGCCCATCACGGACCTGCACTGTCAGTACCTTGTCCTGCAGCCATGGTCATACTTGCTCCTGTGGCAATTCCTGGGATCTCACTGGTCAGCAAAGTACTCGGGCAGGACGTGGAAGGTTCTAAGGTGCAGCGTGGATGCTCTGGCCTGCTTTCCCATGTCTGGATGTGAGTATGGCACAGACATCTGAAAGCCTAGGAAGAGAGCCAAAGCCTGTGAAGTTCAAACTGCAGCTGTCTTTACAAGGAGAAACTGTACTCATTTGCTATTTCTGGAAGCTGAGAGTCACTGCTAGCATCTTGTTTGCACTTGAGAGACAATTAATGCTAAAGCATACACTAGAAGTAAGTGCTCAAGAAAGGTCTGCTTCGTGAGGCTACCTATTGAGAGACAAAAATTAAGAAGTAATATATCCTAAGCACTGAAAGGTAGGTAGAAACAGAGCTTCAGCACTGGGATATAGGTAAGTAGCAACAGTTTCCTCTGCCTGTTTCTTTTTCCTGTATATCATCCCTCATGTAATATTGAGAAATGTAGGTGTTTAATAAAAACTTGAAGGATAAATGAATTGGACTGTCACTATTCTGAATGTGTATGGGTTCTCTTATCTGTATAGTGGTCAGATACCCACCAGGAAAACAAAAACAGAAAGCATTGTAGATATTTCACAATGAGGGAGTTTGATGCTAGGAATTGGTTACACCAAGGATGAGAGAGCTGAGAATCCACATTGGGCCCAGAGCTTAGCAACAGTTGGAGCAGTGAACTGCTGCCATTCTTAGGGCTGAGGGAGACTGGAAGGAAGTGGAGTTGCAGGATCTGCTGAGCCAAGCCGAGCAGAGTTAGAGCAATGCTGAGCAGGAACTGGAGTCACGGCAACAAGGCCTATGCTGGAGATGCCTTAGCAAGCACTGGCTTCTCTTGGTCTTTTTTATATTTTTAATTTGCTAGAGGGTGCATGCACTTGCTGAAGAAGAAAGACAGAAAGAGAGAGGGAGCGTGAGGAACTACCTCCCATGGGAGATGGCCATGCTGCAATCTCTTCTCCATTCTTCTCTCAGGTTTATGGGTATGCATGCACATGCACCCAGAGTGTCTTTCAAGCTGCTAGGTCTGGGACTTGAACATGCAGTCAGACATGTGGGCCCAATGCTTTAAACACCATACCACCAGCTGGCCCTCCTTCTAGAATTCACTTTTCTTCCACTAATTCCTCTCACTGGCCAAGCAAGCAAGAGGCAAGAGACCCTGGGAAACGTAGTCCCCTTTGATGCTGTGTACAGGGAGATCAGAGGAGTGGGGTGTGTAGAAGTAGAGCTGGGGACAAACCTGCAGTGACCACCATGTACTCTAAGAGAGCTGACATTCTTCCCAATAGTAAAAGGAAAAGTTTCAGTCCAGTAGAACTTAAACTACTTTAAATTAATCTATAAATTATATGCCTTTGTGTCTTTTATTTCCCTCTCATGTTTAATTAGTGATCTGTGAACAAGTTTGCTGCTTAAGATGAAATACTTAACCAGCACGTAATTGTAAGGATCAATCAGCTAGGGCTGGCCTCGGTGGTTAAGAGCTTGTGTAGGAAGCCAGATTCCATATGGCTGAGCATGGTTCAAATCTTGGCTCTAGTGACTTGAAAAATACACCAGAAACATGTGCATGCATGTCCCAAATCCGACAGAATGGGGAAATGGAAGGAAAAGAATTGCAGCATGACCATGCCCCACTGTTTTATCAGATTTTTGCCATACAGTATGTGTGCTCACCAGAGAGACAAAGAAGGAAAGTAAGAAAT